TGGGATTTGGGATTTGGGATTTCGGCATTTGGGATTTCGGCATTTGGATTTTGAATTTGGGTGGCAGGTATAACTAAACATAGTAATCATTGTTTTAGAGTGTGATCCAGGAATTAATAAGAAAATTGATGATAAAGATAAGATTTTATAAACATTAGATTTCACAGTTAAACTACCATTCTTTGAAATTTTAACTGATTCATTTTGATATTGTCAGAATAGCTGAGATACATTGGTGCTTCCAATTTTATAATCATATAATTGCTCATTTCTTTTGAAATAAAGTTTACCAACATCATCAACTATTAAACTATCTTCATCCTTTTTAATCTGTTTAATAAACAGATTATTAGTCAGAGAATGTCCTCCTGGTATAATATTGTATAACAATAATAAAGTATAATTATTGTTATTTGATCTTTTAAACATCCTTTCATCATAAAAATCAAAAATTGTTCATTTTCTTTGAGGCATGATATATTTATTCTGATAATATAATTAGTATTGATATCAGATTGGGAAAAGAGAATCGCATTGTCAAACTATTACATTAAATTATTCCTATTAATTTATTACTTGACTTATTGTACTTGGTTATAACGTTAGAATTAATAAGACATTCATGTTGTTTCTAAATAATTCAAAGTTAGCAAAATATAATTATAACTTACAATACAAATATAGTCACTAACCTTTTTCTCTTCCAAAATTAATTTATCAACAAGGGTTGAGTTTCGTTCACACTATATCCGAACACTATTTCAATACTGTTCTACACTATAAGAGCCTAAATATTTGCCAATTGTATTTAAAAAACTTATTGCCTTTTCTGAGTATCTATCATTCACCGATGCAAGTTTCTTTAATACATTTCACAAATCACTTTTGACCTGATTCTTTTGAGAGAATTGATATTCTAGCTTTTTAAAAAATTTTCCAGTTGTAAAATCCTGTGAAATGACTTCTTTTAGTACATCAATGTGATCCTGCACATTAAAATAGAATAATAATTAATACTGTAAATTAATTCAATAGTGATAAATGAAACAATAAATGATAAATACCATTGTAATCTAAAAATGACATGGAATTATTATTACAAGAAAGATTAGTTAGAGGTTCTCTAAATATTATTAAATAATATTTTTCTTATTAACTAAGCTTTCTCCAATTATGATAAGGTCAATATATTAAGCTCAATAGTTATAATGTACCCATTTTCCTAATAACATCAGAGCAAGGAGACCTTCAATAGAATTACGAGCTAGCAAAATGCTGACCGAAAAGTCAGAACCTTATCATATCTTTTAAAAACTATGCGACACCCCCCCAATATCATCAAAGTGGAAAAACTTCTAATGGAATTACAGGCCAGCAGAATATCGAGTTTACAAAAACAAAAAAACATAAAGCTAAACTTAACTGAAGTTTGAAGTAAATAGAAACTAATACGCATTACAAATATTTTATCAAATGAATATATAGATCAGGTCAGCACATAACACATGATAATATACAATTTAAGGTTTCAGATTTACTTTATTAATATGTAATAGAAATTTGTTAAATTTAATTAATACCCCTCAATTCGAGTGTTATATATTTTATAAAATATCTTTTTACATGTCTCTTTCTTGTTTTTGTAGTTACTTTTATAATACATTTTTATCATGTCTAAAATCACTTCAACTATTAACTTTTGAGGAGAGTTATTCACATCTAATGATATCCTATACACAAAGTATTTTGAGCTTTGCTTATATGAAAACTGATCTCTCCATCAATATGTCTCCCTTATAATAATAATTATAAATTCACTGAGAAAGAAAATACACATTTATATTTTTTTTATACTCTGTAAGATATTAGTAATAATTTATATGTATCACAAGAAATTTAGGATGTTGCTCAAAAACTCATAAACAATAAAAAGGTAGATATAATAAATATAATTAATAAGATTTGATAAGGCCTTATAACCAGGTACTTGTACCTATTGGATATTGTCTATGCAAGTACTGAAATGGATGCGTTTGTTGGATTTGTCTATTAAATTCATCTGACAGACACCCAGTAAACATCATGGAATATTGATATAAATTTTTAAGATCTGTTGATTCTAAAGGAGGATTCAAATATGTCTTTCTTTACATTAAGTGGACATTCACCAATGAAGTAAAATATTCTTTAACATTTTCAAAAAAGAAGAGAAAAAACTTTCGTGTCCTCCAGTAGATAAAATCAAATATCACTATGTCCCAGGAAATATATAAGAATGTCAAGATGAAAATCTAATTCCAAAAAATGAAAATTTCTCACCAGTTTTTACACGAATGTTCACTTAATAAAAATTTACTATTATATATTCTTGCACCCACCATATAATCTTATTTTTGTATAATTATGCTTACTGGGAAATATCTTATATCTGATTTTGCTTTTTATAAGCTGATATTGAAAAAGTAAATAACTTGTAAAAAAAAACTAACAAGGAAAAGAAGTCATTGCAACCACCAGTAGCATCCTCATCATTAGCATTATCATCATTGCTATCAGTAACATTATCATCATCATCACCAACATTATTATCTTCATCTATACATGATTATTTTGATCATACCGATAACAATGATCACGAAAATAACAATAATGATAGTGATGAAAATAATAATAACAATAATGGCAATAATAGTGATAGTAATAACAATAATAATAAAAATAATAATGATAATGATGATAATGATAATAACTGTAATAATAATAACAACATTAATAACAATAATAGCAATGATAATGATGATGATGATAATGATGACAATAATAATAATAATAATAATAATAATAATAATAATAATGACAATAATAATAATAATGACAATATCAATGACAATAATGATAACAATAATAATGGCAATGATAATAATAGCAGTAATAATAATAATAATATGAATAATAACAATTCTATACAACAAAAAAAAAAGTGGTGCCTACATCTCATCAGAATAAAAAATGGGTTAATAATAATAATAATAATAGTAACAATAGCAATAATAACAACAATAATGATAATAACAACAGTAACAATAATAATAATAATGACAATGTCAATGAAGATAATATTAACAATGACAATAACAATGACAATAACAATAATAATGACAATATCAACAACAATAATAATAACAACAATAATATCAACGATGTTAGGGTTCTATGCAACAAAAAAAAAGAAAATGGGTTAATGATAATGATAATAGTAGTAATAATAATAATGCCAATAATAATAATAATAATAATATTAATAATAATAACAATAATAATAATGGTGATGGTAATAATGATGATAATAATAATAACAATAACAATAATAATGACAACGATAATAATAATAATAATAGTAACAACAATATTAATAAAAATAATAGCAATGATAATAATAATAGTAATAATAACAATAATAACAATAATAGATGATGAAAAAGAAGAAACCAAGTTAATCATAATAATAATGATAATAATAACAATAACAATAATAATGACAATAACAATGACAATAATAATAATGATAATAATAATAATGATATTGGTAATAATGATAATAATGACAATAACAATGACAATAACAATAATGATAATAGTGATAATGGTGATCACGGTGATGGTAATAATAATGATAATAATAATGATAATAATAATAATGGTAGTGATAATAATAATAATGATGAGAATAATAACAACAATAATAATGATAATGATAATAGCAATATTGTTGGTAGTTCTATTCAACAAACAAGAAAAAGTCCTCAGAATAAGAGTAAATCAAATATGATATAGAATATTTATCAAAAAACTCTGTAAGTATAAATGGTATTAACAATAATAGTAATAATAGTTATATTAATAAATTTTACTTTATCTTTAAACTTTACTATCACCATCATTATCTTCCTCTTCAGTTACTCAGAGAAGCAGAAAAAGAAAAAGAGTTATCTATTCAAGAAGTTATCCTAAACATCGTAAAAGAAAAAAAAATAAATAATAGATAATTTTTTTTAATGTGGATAGATAAATAAAGCTAGTCCTGATGGCTGATTTCATATAATTAATCATGTTTATTTTTTACATATTTTAGGATTTATTATATTGTGTTGTTATTGATATCGATATATATTGAAAGTTGAAGAAAAGGATGATAAAAAACAAACAGGTGCACTTATAGAAGAGTTAAAATCTTGTTTAGAATCTATTTTAAATAATATAAGAATAAAGGAAAATTTATAATAAATAAAAAATTATAATTATTAGTGATATATTAAAAATAAATGATGTAAAGGTAGGAGAAAATATATAATAAATATAATAAATAAAAAATTATAAATATTTAAGTGATATATTGAAAAAAAATAAATCAAAATATTCATGAGTATAATATTTGATCTGAATTTTTTAATTATATTTTACCAAATTTTTAAGTCTCATTTGTCATGTAACATGATCTATATTCTTAGACAAATTTTCAGTTATCGATCTTTAGTTACTTAACTGAACACAACTTCAGATGATCTCTAAATTAAATTATATGATCTCAATATTTGTAACTTTAATCCTTATTCAAGTCTAACCATATATAGAAATAGGCTAAAATGGAGTAGAATTATGTGAGATGATTTTGGGTTAAAGTGAAAGTGTGATCATATCACATGTATAAAAATTTTCTATTGAATAAAAATTCTAATATATTTACTTGAAAATATATAATTTATATATATAGTAGAGAACAGCATAAACTATTATATATTTTTTTTAGTGATTAAAATTTAGTTAATTATTTAATATATAAATCACATGATTTATTATTTATTTTTATTAAATGAAAAAAATTGATCAACTAATTTAAAAGTATATTTATATTATTTATAATTTCTTCATTAATACTTTTATGTGATTTATATTTTTTAACTGCATATTTTACTGGTCAAAAATTGATAAAACATATATATATTGAGTACCTGATATGTGTATGTTTTATCAATTTTTGACTAGTGTTTGACAGCTTTTTCTGTTAATCCATGTCGATATGCATCTATCCATCTAAATGATAATCTTGCAAAAGTACAAATTGTTTTTAATGTAATAGAATTAAAAGCTTTTGAAAGTATTTCTATTAATTTTGATAAAGAATACTCACAATTTGCATATGTATATCTTTTTGCTACACCCCAATACATTTTAATATAATTGAATTCTGGATGAAATTTAGAATAAAATATAATCTAAAAAAATAATTACTCTTAATATCAAAGAAATTAAATTAAATTAATTAAATAAAGATAAATTATTTTATGTTCTCGTATTTCAATTATATGTTGAATTCTTCTATGTTGTGTCAAAAAATCTGGTTGGTTTGCTATTAATCATTAGACACAACAATCAATAATATTTGAATCTGATTTTTTATTTTTGCATGCATCACAATCTAATACTATTCTATTATGTCATAATCCTCTTTCAGTAAGAATCTATTGAATTCCTTTTAATTGGTCACAAAGATTAATATTTGTTTTTGTTTTTTTGTTATAAATAATATAATCATTTTCAATAATTATTGATTACTTTTGATTATTCCATATTGTAGTATGTATCTTAGATACTGATCTTCCTGAATCCAAATTCATTTTTGATGTTACCAATGTATCTTTAGTAAAAGCTATATGGAAAGTGATATTGTCAAAGGCAAAAATACCAATATATTCTAGATGAATTTGTTAAAAAATATCTATTGCATGTTTAACCTACTTAATAAGTTTATTAGTATTCCAATATTCATCACGATTAATACCCAAAGTCATTATAACTCTTGTTTCTCCTAAATCATCTTTAAATGAATCAATTGTTTTAGTTAAAAAATTACTCACATGTATATCTATACGTGTTGCCCAAATTCCAAATTACTAGTATTTGGGATTTGGGATTTTAGCAAAAAATACTAATCATAATTTGAAATTTGGGATTTGAGATTTCAGCATTTGGGATTTTGGCATTTGGATTTTGAATTTGGGTGACAGGTATATGTATATCTTGACCTTGATATTTTTTGTATAAAGGATGTTCACTTTCTGGTCCCTATACAGTATGGGGTCTATCATAAATGTAAAAAACTGATTCATCATGAGTTATCCAAATATGTTCTTTCTCTTTTTCAACTAAAATTGGAAAAGTTTGTATTTTGCAATCCTTGTCTAATCATTTAAACATTAAGTGATCAAGTTCTGTAATTTCTTGCAAGAATTTTTCACGATAAATAATAATATTAGGTTGTTCATGGCCATCAAAATAAATGCCTTTTGATAATGCTGAAAACGGAAGCCTATAGTATATATCCAATGACGAACAGTTTGAATAGAAATAGTTTGTCTTGACTTAATATTGATGTGAGAAAGAATATTTTCTCAAAATACTTCTTAACTAATATAGGATTAGTCTTGAATTTTTGAGAGTGAAAATAATCACTAATTTAAATGAAATAAATTCATCATATAGAAAATTCTTAGAGTGAAACTTTCCTTGCAGACTTTGTGAAATTAATTGATCTTTTATTTAAAAAAAAAAATTTTTATTACATTTATTCAAAAAAATTAAAAAACAAAAGAAAAAACATATGTTTTAAATAAATATTTACCTATTTTCTAATTAATCGTACACACCATACATCACCATTAAATATACTTGAAACCATTTCACTTACTTTTATTTTGCTCGAACCATTCAATACAGGTCAAAGAAAATATAAGACAGTTATATATCGGACTTTTTGAATATTAGAGAGTGGTTCTTCTTGAATTATTATTTTAACAAAATTAATAGTCTCATGAATTTCTTTTTCATGCTCACAAGTAGTATTTTTTTCATTGATAATATTTCTATCCTCATCATTCCTCTCAGCATTAAACCCATCAAAGCTTTGATCTTGAAACTCATCTTCATTCTTATTACCTTTGTTGATAGAAATATTTTTGTCCTGTTCTCTTTGTAACTAATCTTCATTATTATTTTCAGTATCAAACCTATCAAAGTTTTGATCTTAAAACTTGTTTTCTTCATTCTTGTCACCTTTGCTTATAGAAAAAACTGTGAAAGTAATGGAGTTCCTACTGTTGCTTCTCATTGAATTTGTTTTTTTCGCTATTTTGTACATTCAGAATCTCCTCTGTAACATAAAGTACGTGTTTACTTTTTGAAACTTTTTTCAGATGTAGTTAATAAAAGATCAATAATCAAACTTACATATTTATTATTATTTAACTCAATATCATCAACTTTGAACACTTCATTATCAGAGTTTAGTTAATTTTCCGTGTTTGAATTATCACTTTTAAACTCCTTACTTGATTCCAAATCAGTGAGATTAATAGCCAGAAGTGTCACTTGTCAAGCAGAACATGTACGTATAGCATTTGTACAAAGTTACTACTTTCTTTTTGATAATCTTGTCATGATTACATCCAGAAATTAGATTTTACATGGTAACTAAATATTACTGAATAATATAAAATTAGATAATATTTCAAGGGTTATAATTTGAAAAAATAGAAAACAAAAATTTTTTTTTAGTCAAATTGTAGCCTAGTCAAAAAATTATTATTTGGTTAAAAAAAATTTCTTATACTACCTTTCCTTTCTGAAGTATATCGGTTACGTAACATCACTAAAATTGATATCTTCCACTGTACAAAATAAATAAGTAATAAACATGTAAATAAAAAAAAAAATCATTTGTTTTTATTTTTTTTCACTTTACAAGTTACTTTTTATCAAAATGTCAAGCAATGAAACAATCCACTTTACTTCAAAAGAAAAATGTACCCTTCTTTTCAATATAAAAAAAAACACTTGAAATCATAGAGAAAGAATTTGATAATAGTTAGTGGTCTCTAGTTTCAAATGTTTGAACATAATTTAACTCTTATAAACTTAGCAATGGTAATTCATGAAAGGTATTTGCCTGTCATTTTACAAAATATCATGAGTCAAGTATACGAAAAAAAAATATATCAATTAAAAAATGAAGAACAACAATGATTAGACTTACAAATATTTGTCATGTAAAAATTAAAGTTATCTTGTATAATTTCAAAAAAATTAATTCAAATTAAACGTTACAATAATATTCCAGACTATACGCATACATTAATAAAAAGTGATCATCTTAAATATTTTACAGCTGTTAGAATATTAGTTATATAAGAAGTTATTAAAAATTATTTACCAGTAGTAATTGTAAAAGCTGTTAAAAAATATACAAATAATGAATTAGATCTTGGTGAAAGTATTAAAGATTTAAAATGTAAAGAAGTGACAAATATTAAATATAAATTATGTGGTTCCTTGAAAATACATTTAGTTGATAGTATTAAATTAGAATCAGATATTTTAGAAACAATATCATATTTAAAAAATCAAGAATATTATTGTGAATGATATTGTATTTTGAAAAAATCTACTTATGAAATTGTTTTTGCACATTTAGAACAACTTAAAAAACTTCACCTTTATGGCTGGTTAACATTAATAAATTCAACATATAAAATCAACAAATATGATTGACATTTATTCACTTTATTTATTTGAGACTCTTATAATTGTTGAGATGTTGATACACATTTTTTTATAAGTAATAAAGATAGTGATACAATAGCAGAAGCATTAAAAATAATTAGAAACATTTGTAAAAATTGAATGCCTGGATATGTACTTATGGATCAAAGTAATATTGAGGCTAACAGTATTAAAAAAGTTTTTTCTGAATTAAAAGCAGATAAAAATAAATGTAGAATAATTCTTTGTATAGTTTATATTGTAAGAATATAGATAACAAAAATTTATGAAAAAAAAATTAGAGAAATTATAATTGGAGCAATGCATAAAAGAGCAAAAATTGGGTGTGAACAATTTATACAAAATGCAATTCAACAATGCTCAGTATTTGCTGTTTGTAATTTTATCAAAAGAAATTATACAAAAAATTCTCATAAGTGAGCTCTTTGGGTACAACAACATTCTCCTTTTCTTTTATAAGTTACATTAACAAATGTATTAAAATCTTATTATAGTGAATTGAAAAGAACAACATCTTTTTTGTATGGTTTAATTGATATGTATATTACTGTTGTTAACCTTGGTTTACCTTCTAAAGAAACCAAAGAAAACTAAGTGACTAGTAGTGAAAATTGTATTTATAGATTTTAAATACTATAACAATTTATACAGCCAAACAGGTATTACTATAAATAAAGTAATGATAAGAAGGATTTGAGTAAGATGGATTTGATTAAAAGAGGCTAAGGGTGTGAGATTTTATAAGGATTTATTAACTAAGTCACAAAGACAACAGAGTTTCACCAAGAAATTAAACAAATTTTCGAAGAACTTAATAATTTAACCTAGATCACAAAGCAGGGTTAATTATTAAGTGACTGTAATACCGAGATCACGAAGCAGTGTATTATTAATTAACAATTACTCTTATCACCAAGAAGAGAGTAATAATAATAGGGATTGCTTAGATCACAAAGCAAGACAATTAACAAGAGGGTTTTCACTAAGAAAGTTACAATATAAACTATATAATTCACCAAGAAAGATATCAGTTTATAAACAATGTTTTTATGGTGAGTTATTAGAATATTTAATTCTATGTCAACTGTTCCTTCAAGAGGAGCAGAAACAATTTCTATTTATACAAAATTTAGACCATATCATGAATTATGATTATTAACTTTAAGAAAATTCCGGAAGTTTCTGTAACATTCCAACACAATTATTAATGCTGGAGGTAATTTACCTAGGTATTTTACTGGTGGCTACCATAGGTATTTTACCTTGCATCACGTAATGTTACATATTTGAGATATTTTATCTCTGTTATGTAAATACTAATAAAGTAATATAAGAATATAAATATACTAAACTAAAAATAGATAAGATAATACATATATAAAATATTAATATAATAAAATAATAATAATAATAAAATGAGCTATAATAAGAATATATATATATATATATATAAATAAAGAAACAGGATCAATACTGTATATACATCAGAAAATTCTCACACTTTTTTTACATTTTTTCGACTTCGCTCATAATTTGTGGAATGTAGAAATTTTTCTACTAAGGTATTTCTAAGATAGAAAGAAAGGTCTTATTCTTGACTACAGAATGATATATATTTTATTCCAGTAACATCGATATTCGCAGAGTTATTCTAGTTTAAAAAAAAAGTCTGTGAAAATCAGATGCAAGATTTTCATTTGATTTTCATGGACATTTTTTTTAAACTGGAATAACTTTGTGAATATCGATGCTACTGGAATAAAATACATATCATTCTGTAGTCAAGAATAAGGCCTTTTTTTTTATCTTAGAGATACTTTAGTAGAAAATTTTCTATATTCTGAAAATTACGAGCGAAGTCAAAAAAATAAAAAAACATGTGAGAATTTCCTTATATATATACAGTAATATACATACCAATTAAACCATACAAAAAAGATGTTGTTCTTTTCAATTCACTATGATAAGATTCTAATTCATTTGTTGATATAACTTGTAAAAGAAGAAGAGAATGTTGTCATGTCCAAAGAGTTCACTTATGAGAATTTTTTGTATAATTTCTTTTGATAAAATTACAAACAGCAAGTACTGAATATTGTTGAATTACATTTTGTATAAATTGTTCACACCCAATTTTTGTTCTTTTATGCATTGTCCAATTATAATTTCTTTAGTTTTTTTTTATAAATTTTTGTTATCCATGTTTTTACAATATAAATTATACAAAGAATTATTCTATATTCATTTTTACCTGCTTTTAATCTATAAAAAACTTTTTTAATACTGTTAGTCTCAATATTACTTTGATCTATAAGTATATATCTAGGCATCTAATTTTTACAAATGTTTCTAATTATTTTTAATACTTCTGCTATTGTATTACTATTTTCATTACTTACAAAAAAATGTGTATCAACATCTCAACAATTATAAGAGTCTCAAATATATAAAGTGAATAAATGCCAATTATATTTGTTGATTTTATGTGTTGAATTTATTAATGTTAACCAGCCATAAAGGTAAAATTTTTAAGTTGTTCTGGATGTGTAAAAACAATTCCATAGATAGATTTTTCCAAAATACAATATCATTCACAATAATATTATTGATTTTTTAAATGTTTCTAAAATATCTGATTCTAATTTAATGCTACCAACTAAATGTGTTTCCAAGAAACTACATAATTTATATTTAATATTTGTCACTTCTTTGCATTTTAAATCTTTAACACTTTCATCAAGATCTAATTCATTATTTGCATATTCTTTAACAGCTTTTACAATTGCTACTGGTGAATAATTTTTACTAACTTCTTGCATAACTAATGTTCTAACAGCTGTAAAACATTTAAGATGATCACTTTCTATTAATGTATATGTGTTGTTTGGAGTATTATTGTAACATTCAATTTGAATTAATTTTTTTGAAATTACACAGGTAACTTTAATTTTTGCATAGCAAATATTTGCAGGTCTAATCATTGTTGTTCTTCGTTTTTTAATTGGTATTTTTCTTTTCATGTACTTGACTCACGATGTTTTGTAAAACAGCAGGTAAATACCTTTCATGAATTACCATTATTAAATTTACAAGAGTTAAATTGTGTTCAAACATTTGAAACTAGAGGTCACCAACTATTATCAAACTCTTTCTCTGTAATTTCAAGTATATTTTTTATATTGAAAAGAAGGATACATTTTTCATTTGAAGTAAAGTGGATTGTTTCATTGCTTGACATTTTGATAAAAAGTAACTTGTAAAGTGAAAAAAAAATAAAAACAAATGATGTTTTTATTTTTTTTTTATTTACATGTTTATTATATTTATTTATTTTGTATATATAAATCACATATTTCAAATAAATATATTAGAATTTTTTATCCAATAGAAAATTTTTATACATGTGATATGATCACACTTCCGCCTTAACCCGAAATCACCTTACATAATTCTACTCTACTTTAGCCTACCCCCTAAGTGGGAATAATCTAGATTAAGTGGAAATAACATAATTATATTATTTCCACTCATATTCTTCACATTGTTGTTTTATTAATTTCTCGTATGTCTTGGCAACATCAGTTTTCATTATTTTTTGATTACACTGAAAAAGACAAATTGTGTTATATACATTTTTTGTATAAATTATTTCATCAGAAAAATATTTTTAAAGTGCACAAATAATGGGACCTGCTCTACAACCAACACTAACTAAGAATTTGATTTCTTCAAGTATTTCTGTATCAAGATAGTGGTTTGATGCTATGTTTCTATTTTTATGTAATGAATAATTGTGTTCTTTGTATATAGAAGTAATACATATAATTCCATTAGTGAGTTCAAAATTGATCCTCCATGAACAGTTTATTTTCACACTTTCACGTTCACAAGTATCTTCTGTATCTATTTTCTTTTTAGAATGGTATTGGTGTGAATTTTTGCATTCAAATGTGTGATACACAATTTTCCCATGTTTGTTTTTCTCAAGCCGATACTTTACAATCTCAAATCCAAATTCTATTGCATGATTTTTACTTGCCTTTTAACTGAGTTCCAATTTTCAAATTCATCTCCTGTCTTAAGATAATCTTCACTATTTGAATTTCTGAACTCTTCTTGTAACTGTTCAACATCCGAAAGTTCTTCTTCTTCTGAGAACTTACTGCAAAAAGGGAATACTCGTACATGTCATTATTAACTATTTTTATATTTCGTAACTCTGTAACTAGATAAATGGTTGTTTTTTGTAACTTGTTTTTTTAAATTAACAAAAACGCGTTTATTTTTTTTTAATCACAAACTGATTATTAATAATTCATATGATTGGCTAATATTCCTAAAAAAGAAGTATTTTCTGTCTTACAACTCGATGTCCATTTTAGGAAAATCATATTACAAGTGATAATCACGGGGTGACAATCACCAGTGGTAATAATTACTGCCAGTGATCTTTGGAAAATCCCAATTATTAACAGGTGATTTATTATTAACATTAATTATATTCTATAATCAATAAATTTGAAATAATAACTTATTTTTTTTTTTAACTTTATTTTATATTTCAATAGACATTATTTAATGTAGATGATTATGTAATTATACAATTATTTAAATTATTTTCAATGTAAAATGTCAAATATAAAGTAAAAATTTCAACAAAAAAAAAAATTATTTTAGAAATCGTCTATTGCATACAACACGTGCAAATCATCTTAAATTATTTACTGAATTATTATTCTCATTAAATAATATTAATAAAAGAAATTTAATCAACTCTCAAAAATTTTCCGCGACAAATAATAATAATAATAAAAAGGTTAAAGAACAATATAGTTTGGAATTTTACTTTAATAAACAAAATAATAATGTAAATAATGTCGAGAGTGTAGTTGCTTTTGCCACAAAAACGACAAAAACAGAAGTTTTTAATACCTTAAAAAAATGTACAGGTGGTAAAAAAGGAACGCGTTATTTTGGAAACCAAAAATAAGTACGGAAATTCTGAAAAGGCAAGGTGGCAATATTGATAATGTTAATCCTATAATAATGATGATAATAATTATACACGTGGAAAAAATAATATTGCACTTGAATTTTTATCAATCAAAATTGATATTTATGTCTACAATAATTTGACCCTATAAAATTTTAGGCCTTAAAAAAATTGGGGTTTATGTAGTTTTTTTACTCTATTTAAACCCTCATTTTTCTTTTCGCGCTTTTTGTTTTTTTCTTAATTTCAATTTCTTACTGTACTTTTTCTTTATTTTTTTCCGCTTTTCCTAATCTTTGAATTTTTATTATAAACATTAAACTTTTATTTTATCATAAATATTAACCTTTATTTTTATTTTTATTTTCCATATTTATTAGAACGATATACTTGGATTTGAGGTACGCGTTTTCTATTTTGTAGGTACAGAAGAAAGAAGGTTTGCTCTATTTTGTAGGTACATAAGAAAGAAGACTTAGAAGATTTAGAAGATTACCGGGATTTTGAGGTACGCGTTTTCTATTTTGTAGGTACAGAAGAAAGAAGGTTTACTCTAATTTGTAGGATAATGTAAGTTTTTAAAATTAATTAATGGAAAAGCGGAAAATAGAAAAAGAAAATTATATATATATATTTTTTATAATTTAATAAAATAATAAACTTTAAAAGAAGTATAGAAATTATCTTTATTTTAAATTATTTTATTTAAAAATGGTCATTACAATATTATTGAAAAAAAAGGAAAATATAATTTTACTTCGTATAAATGGTTCATTTTTGAGAGAAACTAGTGTTGAGGTATGAATTGTTCTTCGAAATCTTTTGCTATTAAATTCTTTGAGATGAATCAATACTGCAGGTGAGATATGGAGTCTAAATGAAATATGAGAATAAATATAAAAATTTAAATATTTTCCATCTATCTTTCATTTAGAATCATTGGCTTGATGTATTAGAGTGGAAGGAGTAGACTACAATGAGATGAGAAAGGTCAGAGTATTCTAACGCGTCTTACTCTAAATATTTTTGCTTTCAATTTGCCTTGATAATAGGAAAACGCGACGAAAAAGATTTGCAAAAGCAAGATGTTGAATCTGAACAATGTTAATTATTATTTTTGTATTCTTTCATAGATCCTATATATCTTATTTATTTTATATCCTTTCATACAGTATATCTTATTTATATCATATTAACTATGATTTTATCCGATTTATTTTATAAACCTGATTCACTTTTGGGTTATCTCCAATGGAGATTAAACTTCTCAAAATTTTCCAGTAAATTACGCAAATATATCTTTTTTAAAAGAGACGAAATGGCGAAATTGATATAGAGAGACTTTAAAGTTGTATTTATTTTTAAAAAGAGCTGTTGATGGGCCAAGGTTCTCCGTAGTTATTGTTGCTGCACACTAGTGAACCATGGAGATTACTGAGTCAGTTGTATTTTAACAGTCCAAAACTTCTGAGGCACTACTGAACTAAGGATTACAACCTTAAGTCAATTGCTAATTTCTCAGCAGTACTTTTAGCTTTTAATATATTTATTGAAATAGTTGAAATACTAATTAATAATTTTTATTCCAAGAGTGAAAAGATTTTCTGGAAGGGAAAATGTTGAGTCTTCAGGTGTAAGTACATTAAGTACATTTGAATTCAGAAAAAAAAATGTAAGTATATTTTTAGTTATCAAAAGACCTTTGTGATGTCACCCAAACAGTTATATATAGATATTTGGTTTGTTTTTGTGTTTTTTGTTTTTTTTTGTTTTTGTTTTTTTATTTTATTCTTTGTCAGTGGAAGTGAGACCGCTAGCGTAAGTTGTTAGTTGAAATTGTTTTCACCCTTGTCAAAATATTTCGACTTTAGACATTTAGGCATGTCATAAGTCTAATCAACCGTAGTATGCCTAAATATTTGTCAAAATAAAACTTTCGACTAACAGCTTTACGCTGGCGTGAGAGGACTTTTGCTGATACCTGAGTTAGTTAAATAACAACGGGGACGGTTCACTTGCGCACAAGTAATTAGTGAAAACTGACTTATGTCATCAAGGTCACTTGACTATAGGTGTCATCTGAAAATCAATTCTTCAAATATAAAAATTATAAATAAGAAATTACAAATTTGCAGACCAGAAACTTGATGTTGCAATGTTACTTAGACTAAATAAAAAACTAACTTGCAAATTGGTAAAAACTTCGAATTTTTCTCAAGCTGGACAAAGAACATTGTTTTTGAAAGCTTGTACTCAACTTGCACAAAAAATATGGAATTCAAATACTTTTCAATCTACTACAGTATTGCCATTACAAGAGTCTTTTCCAAAAATAGAAGTTGTCAAAAGCTGGAACACAGAGTCACTTATTTCTTTTCTGCAACAACAAAATTTGATGCTTGATGATGATGACTTTCGAATATTCCGTGAAGAGAAGTTTGTTGGTAAAGATTTTCTTGAATTTAATGAAGAAAGGCTTATGCGATATGGACTACAAGGAGGACCAGCAATGAGAATTGCTATGTTTGTAAAAACATTTAATGGTGAAAAGCATGTACTGCCTCATGCACTTATTGAAAAAAATACAGAGTTCGTTCATGTCTTTATTGACAACTCAAACATATTTATTGAGGGAAAATATTCTATTGCTGAAAGTGAACATCTGGGTACCTATGATATTATAAGAAGAAAAAGATGCCTTAACAACTTTCATATTGACTATGGTCAACTTCTCGTAACAATTTTAAATGGACGAAAGCTAGGCGGAACTCCCATCATTTTTGGATCCCATCCGCTACCAAATGATACACTTTGGAGACGAGCTCGAGAGCAGGGATATACAGTGCAAGTGTATGAACGGAATTCTAGAAATCAAGAGAAAATAGTTGATATAGCACTTGCATATGCTATGAGTGAGGCAATTTTGACCAAGGATCCTGGTACATTAGTATTGGTCTCTGGTGATGGTAACTATCTTCCTGTAATAAATTCTGCCATTAAGCACAAATGGATGGTTGAGACATGGTTTTGGATTAAAGGTAGGAATTTATAATCGTATTGATAACCATGTAAGTTGTTCAAGCTTTATATTTAAATATTCAATTTTCTTTAGGAATTTCTACTGTTCTCTGGAAGGAATCACATTTCAATCCTCTAGAACTCTATTACAAGTCCTTCACATACATTCATGAATCTGACCAAAGAGATTACGTTCTTGAGATTAATGATAGCAAAATAATTAAAACGTGGGGACATGATGAATTGATGGAATGTTTTACTATTTCAAACTTGTTTGCAATGTGGAACTGGACAAATAAAGAGACGGTATGCTTATATTTTAACAATAAGGAACAGTCAGAAATAGCAAAGAATTTGATAAAAAATAAGCATCCAAATGTACAAGTTTCAATAAGGGAGTCTAAGCGCCAGGCTTAAATTCTTAGACATGGAACGGTATAATCATAATAGTAAAAAAATAAATGATATTCTCTATTGGGTAATATAATTAGTGAATTTAAATTTATTATGATATCATTCTATAAATATAATATAATCTCAAACCTTTTTGAAATCTATATGCTAAAAGAACATATAAATATTTTAATATAATTTATATCCCTACTATCAAGCACATCCTAGTATCCAAATTCCGCGAAAATATTCTTCCCGATACTAGATTTCTTGTTTGTTCAAGAAATTATCTATCTATATAAAGCATAACAGAAGGTTTAAGTTTAAGAAAATAATAATTAGGTGTTCTCACGCAAGTGTGAGGTATATATATCGGAAAAATAAGAGATCTATTTAACAAAGTGTATTCATGTAATTGCCATTATGTAAAAGGCTGGCCTGTTACGAAAATAACGCAATGTGTAATGATTGTATAGCATTTAAAGCTTTAACTCTATTCAATGAGACCCAATTCTTCGTTAATACCAAAATATCTTATGAAAAACCAATTATCATCGCATAATTTTTCATAAGAATTTTCATGTTTTTCTCTTCGTACTTCGATTGTTAGACTATAATTATAGTAAAGAATAAAAGGTCTAATCCTTTAGGGTGTTCAGAAATCTGGATGATGAACGGTGGCCAAATATTTAGAAACAATTTTGCGACATAATTTTTCATGTTTATGGATGACAAAATGGGCACCAGGTATTTCTTTTTAACGCATGGCCTTTAATACATTCCTATAGTAAATCTGAATATGAAGTAGAGAGATACTTATCATTTCCGCTATGAGCAATTTGTTTAACATCTTCAAGGATCTGATCCCTACGCAATTGAACACCAGTTATTTTATTTTTATTTTTTGCATTAGTGTCCATCAGTGCAATGTCATAATAACGACAAATTAACATTGATAAATTTTTCGGAAGAAATTTCTATCATGTGTCTGCGCAATATTTCTTTACTTTTATTAATATTTGCAAATGGACCACTCGTGTCTTTTGCATAATTTCAATATAAAGGCAATTAATATTAGCACATTTTTTGAAAAGACACTCTTAAGAATGAATATCAAATCAAATCTGTCTAATCTCTAAACGTGCTACAAATAATTCATAAACACAAAATCACTAGGTCATAATGGGTGAATGTTAGTAGAATGCTCTTATTAGGAGGATTATGTCGAATACTGCCTTATGAACGCTTTTAAGTCAAATGAAACACCCATTGAGTGGAAGAACAGGATTTGGGATTGCGTAATATATTTTAGAGAAAATAATCTTTGGACCATACATAATAAGAGATGCTTCAATACTGTAAAAATAAGATCATATCTTGATAATGGAGCTCAGGATGTTTCAGAAATCACAGTTAATGAAATATTGACATGTATTATTGATGGAGAAGAAGTCCAGCATGCACGAGCTGTTGGGAAAAAATAAAATGCAGAGAGTTGAATATTATTATTGCTAAATTTATAAACTTTTATAGGATATTCGAATAGAAATGTATCAAACTAATATTGCATAGACTGTCTAACATTTATTTATCTGTAATTTAGTGTATCTGTTATGAATTTTTTTTGATTTCACAAATTTAACATTGTCGGATTTTTCGGAGAAAATTTTTGTTAATGTAAGTAAATGAAAGAAACCTTTAGATTATCATGTGATCGTCGTGAACAGTACTTGAGCTGAAAATTTAAAGAATCCGTTTCAATTTATTGTAAATTATATCCAATTTCTAAAATTGTTTTCTAAATATTTAAGAATACAAAATTCACAGTATTGATGCCAATTTTGATAATTGTTGCATTGTTGTTTTTCTACTGTATTTTACCAATTTTATGTGTTTTCTGCAATTCGTCAAGTAAAAATTTCTTTTCATTTTTTTGTAAGAGATAAATCATTTCTAATCATATTTTGATATATTCTCGCTGAGTAATGGTTTTATAAATATTTGTGTCCAAGAATAAGTGTGTTTATCCCTATCCCAAACTAGGGATGTAAAAGGCCTGATACTGGATCTGGTCCTGTAAGACTGGTACTAGGACCAGTTCAGGACCTGATCTTTATATAGAAAATTGCTAAAGCTCACCAGTGGTGATTGTCACCACTGGGCAAAATTAGAATTAGGGGTTGATCAGGAAATTATATAATTTTGCCTGGTAATGACAATCACCTATGTTGAGCTTTAGCAATATCCTTTAATATTTCCATTCAAACTCGCTAATTCTACTCTCTCCCTCCCTCCCTCCCTCTCTCTCTCTCAACAATATACTGACTTGGATGAATTAATCAGATTATCGCAAGGTATAAAAAACCTGGTCCTAACCAGTCTCTCTCTCAATGATATACTGACTTGGATAATCTAATCAAATTATCACATAATATAAAAGACCTTGTCCTAACCAGTCCTGAATTTCAAAGGACGGACCAGTTGGTCCAGGTTCTAAAGACCAGGTCCTCGAGTCCGGACCAGAGGATCACCTCATCCCTATCCCAAACACTCTCTAATTTCTCATTCCAAAATATTTTTGAGTAGCCATTTCCTATTTCATTCAAATTTAATATAATTGTAATGAAGAAATACATAATTAATTTATTTTTTGATAATTAATTGACAAATAAAATATAATATACTATTATCGTGGGTTTTTATTAATTTATTTATTCAATTATTTATTTACACGAGTAAAAGCAAATTTTATGTACTATAAAATGTACATATATTATAAATGTTTATCGGACATGCACTTTATTAGGGATAAATTATAAAGAAGGAAAGAAGGAAAATATTAGAGATAATAATAAGTATACGAATTTTACTGTACGTAAGCAATACACACCAGTCTTAATTTATAGTTACACTAATTTTTATAAAATATGCTAAGCCCTTTTAGGATTAGGTAAAATTCGCGTTGTTGTCGACTTTTAGTTAAAATATTTAGTTTTGAAATTCATGATTCAAAAAGCTATACCACCTCTTTTATATTTATTAGATCTGCTGCATTCTTAAAAAAATTAATCAAAACTAAACAAAATTAAAATTTATCAATAATAATCCTTTATCAAATAATCAAACTTGAATATTAAAATTTTAAAGATTTATCAAAATTAATAATACAATGAATGTAAATAATACAATAATACAAGTTGTACCTCTTAATAGATTTGTTTCTTCATCTAATTCAAGTATGAGTCATAACATTTCTTTGCTATTAGGTCCAAGAGACTGATACACGAATAGTACAACTTAATATCCAAATTATTGGTGAAATGAAGAACTGGTAACTTTTGATTTCTTTCTTTCTTTTCTAACCAAAAATCAAAAATTATTTTTCGATACTGCTAATATTTTAAAAATTTATATTATAATCTAATATTATAAGAGAAAAGATTTAAAATAATTCTCAAGAATAATTAATTATTTATTTAATTTATGATGATATAAATCATTAAATTAAAGGTATTTAATATTTTCAGATTTTTTGTTTGATTTAAAATTGTTGTTGTCGAGTGTGTAATGAAATTTGGTTTAACAATAATTTTTTCTCTTTTCTTTAAGAGTCACCATATTTTGTTGAAGAAAAATCAAAATTAATCTAAAGACCACAAATTATTTATTACATAGGGAAGCTGTAACAATATTTTAAATTATTCTAGTCATAATAGATCGAATAGTCTAAATTACACCAGTGGTGTTGAACACCATATCTCGTGATTTTATATAATGCTATAATCACGTGTTCACATGATCGAGTTTATACAAATTGTCTCCTGTGAACATGTGATCAGTTATTATTGCCAAAATAATACGTGCCACTTTATTTATTTAGTTTAGTACTTAAACCTTTTA